GCAGATGTTGTCTCAACTGTTCTGAAGTTGAACAATGTAACTACTTTCAGGTGAATAGACTGTTGAGACTATTTTGAGTTGTTGATGGCAACCAAAAAAAGTGGGGGAAGGGGTGGAATTCCAGCCACTTTCCTCCAGCAACCAGTGGTCCTTAAAACTTTCACCCTCAAATCTCCAAATATGCTGGCTTCTAAGAAGTGCTTCCCAAGACCGAATATACCTCTTGATCAGGGTAAGTGATGAAAATGTGTATTTAACAGGGGGAGGGGATCTTGAAATAGCCTGAATTATGCATGCTGTGGCCTATCTACCCCCACTGTGATAATGGCTCAGCCTATAAAGTTTTCAGAATCAGAAAAATGATCAGAGATGCTAGTTTCTAAAGGAGCGTTGGAGGACTAGGATAACTAGCTAACTCAAGGTGCATGTAGACTTTCTGCTGTTCTTACTTTAGGACAGCTATCTTGGAAGACTGGACCAGGGAGTTCCTAATTCTTCCCTAGCACCATCTCAGGGGCATCCTCGGTGTGAGTGGAAACATGCTTGGATGCAGCAGCCTGAATGAATCTCAAGTTCACTGCATGTCCACCACAAACTGGTTGGTTTCAGACAAATTCCTTGAGTTTTGGATGGGACTGAACCAGCTACGGCTTTCCTTGAAATAGGATGGAGGGGTCTCTTCTCAGAGACAGATAGCGTTGTTCAGGGGGCATCTGTTGGCTAACAGGTTCCTTAGGAGGAATAGATCAGTCTCGTTATTCAGAAAATGTCTGAGAAAGTCCCAGACACCTCCAACTCCACATGATGGGGGATAGACCTGGAATATTAAAGACCAGAGATTGGAATCGAGGCAACATGATAGAGTGGTGTGGCATGAGTGTTGGAGCCATACAGATATGAATTTGATCTGATCCTTAGTTTTGTAATTTCAAGCTCCAAGACTTTCGGAAAAGTGACTTAAACGTTATGGTCTCCATTTCCTTAGCTTTCAAATGGGAAAAGTAACAACTGTTTTGGGAGTGATTCCTATGCTCAACAAGCCTAAGGGGTAGGTACCATTATCATAATGACACACAGACAATTGCCTTAAGGATTAAATAAACCTTCTTATGTAAAAGTGTCTGGCACAGTGTCCGGCACAGTGTCTGGCATATAGTTGAAGCTGAAAAACTATTGGTTTCTTATCTCTCCCTCTTTTCCTTAGGCCAAAATAGTTCTGCTCTCTGATGAAGACACCTTTAGGAAAAGAGGAATCCCTTTCCTAGACTTCCTCCCTGAGGGACTTCCCTTGGTTGATATCCTGGGAGCTGGACTGTTTTTCCTTCTCCAAATCCAGTACCTTACCTGCTGGCATTTTTCGTGGTGCTTGAGGAGGAGACAGTCGATGCAGGCAGGACGTTTCTGGGCTTCGCTCACCCTGAAAGAGAGGAGACTCAATTCTTTTCAAGGGCTTCGTGACAAGCAGCCTACTCCCACAAGCCCTCTGGGGGAGCATCAGGGGGAACGAGTCCTCTTCATGCTTGGGATGCCCTGTAATGAGTTGGCAATGCAGAAGGCGGTTTTCACCTTGGACAGGTTCCACATCAGTCTATTCATTCGCAGGGTCTTTAGCTTGACTGCTCAGACAGGAATTGGGCACCACAGCCCTTAGCACAGGATGATAAGACAGCTCAGGAAGCCAAGGTCACCAGCTCCAGCCCAGACATCCTCCAAAGGACCTGACTGAGGAGTAGGGGAAATGGAGATGCTAGCTATGGAGGTCTAACTTTCTGCAGATGTTTCTGCGGAGCTTCCAAGCCGCTCTCGCTGTCTTGATTACTGGATCGAGACAGAAACCAGGCAGAGAGGCGCCCTCTTCTGGGAGGGAGGAGCAGAGACATTGAATCCACCAGGAAGCCGGCGTTACACTAGCATAATTTTGGCTGCTGCCCTTAAAGTTCTGATGTGTATTTCTTCCATTTCCAACGCTACCTTATTTGTTAGGACTAGATTCTGGGTTTGCTTAAAAGCTGTTAGTGATTTTAAATGAATCTGTCTTGATCTCAACATCAGATGCAATAACACTCAGCTACTATATACAGCATAGAAAGCAGATTACATTCTAAAGTGCCCTGCTCTGTGTAGTTTAGGTAGTCCATACAGAAACCATGTGACTTCTGTGAATGTGCCCACACACATGAATTTATGCTTACACATACCTAATCTCATATCTAAAAACATACCTACTCTGTGCCTTTAAAAACATGTTTAGCCTGACATTTTCATTAATCCAAGGAGACTTTATTGAAATACTGCCAGTGTCTCCTGTCCATCTGGCCACATTTGATGACCCCATGTGATAAGTCATCTTCAGTGCAAGAACCAGGGCCGCCTCTCTCTCATTGATATTTCTCCTGACTGCACACCTCCCCACTGCAGCAACATTCTCACATGCATACATGCATGCAATAGTGAGCTAAAAATAAACAGCTGCTGATGGGCTGCCAGAGGGTGTCCTCCGTACACAGCAGATGTCCTCTGTCTCCCTTTAGTAGGCACAGCTCAAGCCACAGACAGGAATTGAGGGTACTGGACGGGATAAGCTTTACCCCAAATCTCTCAGGCAAGTTACAAAGAGTAGGAGAGCTTGAAAAGGGAGATGACAGCTGAGGCCCATGATCATTCTCTCCCAGGCCTTGTGCCCCAAATCCAAGGGATAACCTCTGGAAAAGTGTTTACTGGCATCAAAGGAAACCATTGCAGGGAAGGTTGATAATTAGGGTTAAGAAACAAGATCAGCCATTCCTCCAGCCATGATTGTAAATAGCTCTCTGCTTTTGGTTTCCCCCCTTTCAGGGCAGAAGTTATCCAAGTGGATCTAGAATATGTGTGCATTTAAGGAGGATGATTTGTGTGCATGTGATTTTCTTCACATCTTCCAATCTGTAAGAATTCTCCCTACCTCCATCACTCATCAATCAAGAAACCCTTTGTCATGCTGAGGTGTGGCATTTCTTCTGCTGAAAACCTCAGATTCAGACACACCCCACACACCCTGAGACACACACATCCACACACACATGCACACCCTTCCTCACCCTTGGGAAGCAAGCTCCATTCAAATTGGTTTAAAAATAGCACTAATCCATTGAGCTCATTTTTCAGGGACGTTATTTTAAGTAGAAAAAAAGATATCCTGGTCTTTGAGAGGGAGAAAGGGTAAACGTCATCTCGCCTTAAAAAGTCCTAATAATGTCGCTGGAGAGTAAGCATTTGCAGTCTTTGTTGAATTTTCTCCTCCACCTACCATTCAACAAAAGTTGTTTATTCCCGAATACCGTGCCATCTGAGTATTTATAGAGGTGAGTTTCCTCTTCGGGTGGAGAACAGAAGGGAAAGCCGCAGTAGCAAGCCGGACACTCCCCTCTGGGCGCTCCCCACCGCCAGAACTGACGCCTTCGAGGGCGGTGGATTTGTGAATCAGCTCCCCCTTCCCCCACACAGGGGAGCCCCTAAATGGCTGCTGGCCATTTGCAAAGGGTTGTGTGCATGTGTGTATTTAATTGCAGGCTTATTTGTTTCTGCTCTGGGTGTCTGTCCGTCTCTCTGTAACTTGGATCATTGCTCTCTGGGAAGCTGTATAGCTGGCTGATTCCGTGGGAGACCAGGCAGGATGCGTGGGCGCAGGAAACAGAAGAGGGAAAAGGAGGGAGAAAAAGAGAGCAGGAGAGAGAGAGAGCGGGAGCCTTAGAATCTGTTATTTGCGTCACTCGAAGAGCCGGGGCTATCTGCCCGACAAACACACAGAATTAATCCGAGTTATAGCTATAGCTGTCTATGCTACAGTGACCAGACAAGAAAGGGCGGGGAAAGGACGCGCGCCAGAGTCTGTGCACGGTCGAGTTTGCATTGGGCGTCTTGGGAGGGTTTGGGGAGGGGGCTGTCCTGCTGGGCACGCCCCTCGGGGCCCCGCTTGCCCGGTGCAGACTAGGCTGCAGCTTGCTCTGCAGCTGCCCAGCCCAAGCCTGGGGTGGCGCCCGCCTCGGCCGCCTCGCCTGCTCAGTGGCTGCGCCGAACACAAAGCGCTGTCTCCGAGCAGAAGCGTCTTCTCAGCTGAACCAGACCCACCAAAGAGGAGAATCTGCACGTGACGTCAGTAGCTGATGACTGACGCAGGCTGGCAAAGGAGACTCAAGGCGGCTGCTCCGCGCTGCCTTCATGAGTCTATTTTCTCCAGCCCCCTCGTAGTGAATTACTAGAACGCAAAACACACACACAGACACACATATGCAGCTTTCAAAATATACATTTCCAAAGGCGGTGTGTTGCAAACACAACGCGATTTTGCAAAGCGTGGGTGGGAAACGTGGGAAGGGTATGGATGTTTTTTTTTTTTTTCTCATCTGGGAATCTCCATCGTGGATAGCAATAGCTTCTAGAGCTCTCCTGGGAAGCTCCTCTGGGGAAGGGGCTATGGCCCCCACCCCCTACTTTCCTCAGCATGTAGGGAATCTGATCAATGGAGACATGCAGCTCTAAGAATACAACCACTCCGACGCCTTCTGCTCGGGGAGACTGCGAGGAGCTTGCAACAGGCAGAGACAGATGGGAGTTAACGGGAGGGAGGGAGAATATAAGAAATATTTGGGCATTTTTCTGATTTGAAAAACATTTTCTGCAGTCATGCAAGTGAGTCTGGTGGTGCAGGGAAAAAAGTGAGGAGGGGGCGCTTAATGCACATTTAATGTTTTGGAAGTAAGGTTCCAGCGAAATGCCTTTGTGTGTGGAGGTTTTTTCAGTACTTGCTAAAAATAGCATCAGGGTTTGATCTTGTTCCAGAAATAAACCGAGGGCTGTACTGGGATAAAAAGCCAGCGCGGGTGGAAGAAAACCTGGACATCACCGCATTCCTCCCCCCACAACTATGTCTGGAAATTAATTGTTGGATTTTTCCTCTCCTCTCTCCTCTTTCCATCCACTTTCTCTTTTCTCCCCCTGTGTTTCTCTTTCTCTCTCTTAAGGAGTTCCCGTTTGGGTAAGTAATATTATGTCATGTGCATGCCGCAGACTGTGAGTATGAGCTGACGCTTACTTTGTGCATGCTCCGGGGTTCTTTTTTGGCTGCCTTTTTCGCCCCTTCTAAAGAGGATAGTGGGACTGAGTAGGGGGTAAGGGGTGTAGCTGTGTGCGTGTGTATGTGTATAATGAATTTGGGGCTGCATGCAAAGAAACCGAGAGAGGGAATTCTTGCAGAGCCGGGAATCACCCTCACGAATCTCTGAATCAATAGCGGCTGCAACTCTCTCTCCCGTTATGGGTCGGCGCTGTTGAGCTTGGTTTTCTCGATGGCCCCCTCCCCTCCCCATTTTCTCTGTCTTAAAGGGTGGCCAGACACGACTTAATGGGCCTTATCTCTGAGAGATTAATGGAGACTGTGCAACATAGATCAAAATTGCATGGATGGGGTTGGGTAAAGACAGGCAAAAATCTCTACTCCTTTGACAAACCTCCCCGCTGGCTCCGGTCCGGGAACTGAGGACCGCGACCCTGGTTCGGGCTGGCCCAGGACTCGGTTGCTGTCCACGGAAGATAGGTGCTGAAAATGCCTTGGTCCTCAGCGAGTTCAGTTCCGAGCGCCAGGGGGCGGGGTTGGCGCCAGCTGCGGTTAGCCCCGCCCTGGATGCAGGAGAGGGACACGGGGACGAGGGGGTTAAGGATGTTCAAAGGGGATAGTCGTGACTTCGGTGAGAGCTTTGGGGGAAAGGAGGGGTGAGTGGGAAGGAAAGGAAAAAAATTTAAAGGAGGGGGAGCGAAGTGTTAGATTCGAGGATGAGTCTAGGCCGGGCGTTTCAGGAATGGAAGGCCAATGGCTCACCGGCTTTCCCTGCAGAGGCCAGGCACTATCCGGGTCTCCATTCCCAGGATACCGCACCTTCCCGCCAGTGGGTTTGAAAGATTTCTCCTCGGTGATGGTGACTATCAAAATAACAGGCTAATAGGTTGCTTTATTCAGACCCTCGTCCCCTCCCACTTCATGCCCCCCATATCCCCGTATTCTGTAATTCCCGGGAGGTGTGTAAGGTAGTGTGGTGTGACATTTTTCTTATTATTCCCCCTTTTCGCATGCTAGTCATAGAAGCCCCAAGTGAGTTGGTGGAATGAGTGAATTAGAAGCCAAAGCACAGGAGTTGTTGGTGCGATGCGCAGAGAATCCAAGCTAGGGAACATCGCGGGGCGCCTCAAAGCCAAAAGCCAAAGGAGTCTAAATCAGCCTGAAGGGAAATTGGGGAGGAGGTGTTCTCTAAGTTGCCAAATGTTATTGGGAATACCATCAACTCTCTGGGGTTGTGGGCTGGACCCAGACTGAGATTCACTGCAATCAGCTCCAGACACTTTGGCCGAATCTGTGGCCAGACAGGTGAGGAGAGAGGAAGGTTATCAGAGGCAGAGGGGGAATGAATATCACGCGCACACAAAGACATTCATGCTGATTAACTCCAGGAGAGGGAGAATAAAAGTACATCCTCAAGCTGGCCCATGAGGATGGGCTGTAGACAGTGGGAGAAATGAAGCACTCTTGCAGGTCTGCAGTAAGCTTTGTGTGCATGCAGGAATATTTTATATGTTTATTTAAAAATATAAACTTGGGACGGTGAGGTAAGTATTTGTGGTGGCTAGCCTTCAGGAGAGAGGAGACCAGGTCTCTCTGCTTCATTCACCCCTTCCCCTCTGTCAACAGCCTCTGGCTTTAGTGACCTGACCTCCACACAGGGTAACCGGGGTGCAGCCTGGGCCGGGGGATGAGAGGGTGGGTGAGTTATGTTTAGCTCAGAAACCGTCCCTCTCTCGGAAGATTCCCTGGCTGAGACTGAGTATTCAACTCATAATAGTAACGGGGGCTGTTACCGATGTGCAGAATAACACAAATAACGCTGCAACCCACACTTTGTCTTGACAATTCAGTTCAAACCAAAGCTGCTCACAGCCTCTCGGCCCACCCCTCGGCCTCCTCGTCATTCACGGGGACCTACTCCTTCCCTTTCCCAAGCCTCGCCCCTCTCAGCCCTGCAAGTCTGCGTGGTTGTGTTTACAAATTCTGCCACAATTGCAAAGGAAATAGGGGTTGGGGGAGCGGTCGGGGCGGGAGTGGTGGTAGCGCAATAAAACACTTGCAACACGTGGAGCGGTGGTTGGGGGGAGGTGTCCAAGAGTCAAGAACGGGGCGGAGGGACACCCCATGTCCTCATTTCCCCCCCCCGTTCTTCCCCACCCCTTCCCATTGCTTGGCACAATGCACAAGTTTACCCCCCGAACTGGATCCTATTAAATAATTCAATGGTAGCGGTGTAATTTTGGTTGGAACCAGCACGGATTCCCAAGTCGTGACTGCAAAAAGTGAGTAATGCGCGCTGGCTGCGTCATGGCTCTAGTCACAGTTCATTCCGAACTGAGAAGGAATCGTGACTTCGCCTGGAGACGTCCCCTACATGGGAGATGGGGGGCGGGGGGGCCATCAAATCAGTGGGGACGGGGGTGGGGGGAAGACCTATCCAATGAAAACCGCTGCCAGGGGGGCATTTGAACTCCGCCGCTTGCTGTCTCGCTGTCCCCTCTCTGCCCCGCGCACCTCGCTCCCCCCTCCCGGCCGGCGCTCGCAGTGGCGCGCCTGCTCGCTCTCCCGCTACCCGACGAGTCCTCAACAAGTTGGAGGAAGGCAGGAACGCAGGGGTTAAGCTCGGAAAGCCGCAATTACCAAGATCGTGACCCTCCCACACAGTACAGTAACTTATATACTTACCTGGAAGAGCCCGCTTTGCCGCCGGGCAAACACCCGTGGGGGGCGGGGAGGGGCCGGAGGGAGCTGGCCGGCAGGAGAGGTGCTCCTTCCAGCTGGCTGCAGTGCGGACTGGACCGGCGCGCTCCCGTGGCCCCCAGACCGAGGTAAGGAGCAGGGGGTCGGCGCCCGGGTCGGCTGGTGGTCGGTCGGCTCACTGGTAGTCTGAGCAGAACTTTTTTTTCCCAGTTGCCCGGCGCCGCGGCGGCGGCCGGCGCAGACCGCGGAGCCCCCTCCAGCGCGGCGGGCGCGCAGACGCTCGGAGGGTGTGTGCTTGCGTCTGTCCGTCGCGGAGCCTAGGGGATGCCGTGGGAGGGTGAGTCGGTCGCGGAGCTGCAGGAGGGTGATGGTTGGGCGAAGGGGGTGGGTCGACAGGGACTTGAAGACAGTACTTCCACCGTCTAGAGATGTTTTCTCCGGGCGTGCTAGGCAAGGGTGGGAGTGTGTGTGTGTGCGCGCGCGCCCGCCCGCACGTCGATTCCAGGGTGCCAAAGAACAAATATGGCAACTTTCCCCCCAAGTTCTTGCAATGTTTGCAGTAACCCATCCTGGTGAGGTTTCCTCCACTGGGGGACTGTACTGCTAGGGAGGGAGATAGTCAGGACGTCCCTTAGCCCACACCCTACTTAGGTACTAATGGGGGGAGGGGCAGGAGAGGACGTGGGAAGGGTGGCGCTGCACTGCGAAGAAGGGCAACCCCTCAAAGTTTGGATGGATGGGATGGGGGAGGGGACCGAGCGGGATGGAGGAAGAGGGAGGGAGGGAGAGTGAGGGAAGGAGATCTTTCTCCCTTTTCTCTAGTCTTCCCTCCCCTCCTTTCCTCCTCTCGCAGAAGGTGGAATCTCCCGTCGTTTTGGGGTCCGGCAGTCAATGACGGGTTCGCCCCTTGTTGTTCCCCCTAGCATTCTGCAGAATGGGTAGAAAGTTGGTGGGGAGGGGAGGGCTGCAGCTTTGAAAGGGCACCTGAGGCGAATGGGCCATTAGACACCCAATATTGAGACAGTTTGGGGGAGGATGCGGAGGGAGGAGCTTCACCTTTCTAGCTGAGCATTCAGAACTTTGGGTGGGGAAGGGGGTGTTGAGACATTCTCATTTTTTCTAGAAATAGGCTGACTAGTGTGGAGTTTGGGTTTATTTTATGTTCATCTTTGTCATTTTTCGTCTGGATCTTCTGGCTTGGGTCCCGTTGGGAGAGGTCGCTCTCTTAAACCTCTCTTTCCCAATACATCGCGCTACCCCCTCACCTGGGCTGGAATGGGGAGGGGGTCCTGAATCGCTTTTTTGTTTTTTGGCAACAACAATATTTTAACATGTTCCAATCTAGGTTTTGTTGAATAATTAGAAATGGAAATATTTTTTTCTCCCTCCCCCTTCTGAAAAAAAAGGGGGAAATGTGAGCTCTCTTCTGATTGGTGGGTGACGATTTTAGTCCGCACCAATGAGCTGGCGGCCTCGTCTGTATTTATTTAGTGCTCTGGGGGAGTTTTTCTCTTTACGCAGCGCCTGTAGTCACGGCTGGAACCTTGGCTGGGGGACTAGGAGGGATAAGAGGGGATTCGGGGGGAATCCGAACTGTACCTGTTCAGAGATCGGCGACCTTGCAGCCGTGGCTGGCGGAACTCTGATAGGGGGATAGAGGGATAGGACAGGCAGGCGGGGAGGCTCCGGGTACTGTGGCGACAGGAAAGGGGTGGAGGCTGGGCTCCGGGATCCCGGGTGCCCCTCCGCCGTCCCCTTCTCGCCCTGCACACACTTCTCTCGGGGCTGAGTTGGGGGATCGCGAACGGTCTGGAGAAATGGAGACACGAGTCCAGGGGTGCGGTGGGGCGGGCGGCGCGCGGAGTGGTGAGGCTGAGCCGCGATGGAGCGCGCTGGTGAGACCCAGCCTGTTCGGCTCCGGGGTTCGGAGACATCCTGGGCTGAAGGCGGCGGCGGCAGCGGCGAACCGAAGAAGCCGGCGTATTCTGCCCTTCGTGAATCTTTTTGCGGTCTGGGCTTGCTGTACATAACTCAATAGCCGGAAGCCCTTACCCCAAAAAGCATTCGCGGAGGGCGCACTCGTCGAGAAGACGGCAGCCATCCAGCGATCGCCGAAGCCCGCACCTTCCCGAAGCTGCTCCATCCGAGCCTTACCCGGCCCTTTCCCCGTTTTCCACGGAAGATTCGGCCCTTTCTCCCCTGTCCTTTTGCGTTCCCGGAGGTTTTGGTCACCTGTCTTTCCTCCGAGCGAGTCCCCCGCCCCCAACTTTTTAACAGACTTTGTATCACAGGGGGAACTGGAGCAGGTGGGGTGCGTGTGTTTTCGGAGAAGTGAGAAGCAGCTAAAATGCAATAAAAGTTTACAGAAGTTGTGTCTTCCCCCCAGCCCCCGCCCACACCACGAATAACCCTTCACTCAATGCAAAAAAAAAAAAAAAAAAAAAAAAAAAAAAAAAAGGATCTGAGCTTAGGGCCAAGTCAGAACCTGGAATATGAATCGGTTTAGAACATTTTGTGGTCGTTTTTGACCCTAATGATCCGATTCTGCACTATGGGGGTCGGGAAGCCCTTCAGGGAGGGACTAGAGGCCCTTAGTATCTTCTGTCCTGGTGCGGGGGACCCGGAGGTGAGGCGAGCCGCCGTGAATTGGGTAGCTCCGAAAAAGAGGGAAAACACCCAGGCACCGCCCGATCCCCGGAGTCTCTTCCTCCCGCGCCTACTTCCAGCCTAATTTGGGGCGTTTTGCAGCCTCGGGTCTCCCCCTTCTCCTCTTTTTCAAAACTAAGTAGCACGGAAGGGGGTAAAACAGGCGAGAACTGGGGAAGCCCCCGCAGAGAAGGAGCTTTGGAGAGATGCGGTTGTGCCCGACTCAGACGCTTAGCAGGAGCAGAAAAGCAGCAGCAGCAGCAGCAGTAGCCCCATCCCGGCCTCTCCAGGAGCCGGTCCTGGGGAGGGGGGCAAAGCTGCAGGAGGGAAGAGTCTATGAGTCCCCCTCCTCCCCCTCCACTCATTGCAGTCCTGACCACTTCGGTCGCAAGTGGCACAAATCAGGCCTTCACTACATTCTGCTCCCCGCGTCCCTCGCCTGCTAGGAACACTGCTAGACGCCCTTGCCCTTAGGGACTGGGCCAGAAGGACACACATACACACATGAGTGCCCACAGGGACGGAAACAGGTAGAAGACGGGTCTAGAGACACCAGAGTTCAAGACCCGAGGGCTGCAAACCTTCACGTTTTCGGGGAGGGCCTGAATTTCCCCCGTATCGCAACCACCGTTCTTCCAACAAACTAAACGCCCACCGTCATTACCCTGTCCGCTGGTTGAACACCCGGACTCTACCCTCTCCAGAATTAGGAAGGGCTGCAGAGTCCGAGAGTGCTGGACAGAGTCAATCTTTTATAGCTAAGACTCTGAGAAGGCACAGAAGGCGAGAACTCCAAACTCTAAGGCTAAATCAGAGCTTTCCTCCCCAGATAAAGGAAAATTTCCCTCCCTGAATACGTTTTCTAAAAGAGTAAAAAGGTTCCTAAGATCTGCAAAGGAGATGGAGGAAAAAGCAAAAGCTCCGGGGATTTTCCTCCCTGCCTCTCACCTGGGGCCGTCTGTGGAGCGATAGCTTTGCGGAGGGAGAGGCATAAGAACCACGTTAGATTAAAAATAGCTTCACCCTGTGTCCCTTCAGCTCCTCTTTTGTCTTTTGCTTCTTACATACCCCTCCTCTTCCCAGCCAGAAAGCCCTCTTCTCTCCCAAAGCCTGAACCTTCACCAGATTTGGGAGAGAGGTGGCCCAAGAGAAGTGAACTTGCACAGAAGAGGTTGAGCCACCGCAGCGCAGGCGGCTCAGGGTTATTGCGACCCTAGCCCCCTCACTTCTCCCTCCGAGGCTAAGTGTGAGTTTAGGGCTCCAGGGCCCAAGGAGCCATGGCCGAACCCGGCGTCGTGCGGCACCGGAGCGAGTCCTCGCCTCGCCTCAGCAAGACAACTGTTGCTGCCTTGGAGAAGCTCCTGCTGCTGCAGCTGCTGCTTGGGGCGGCTGCACGCCTGGGGCTGAGGCTGCTGACTTTTGATCGGGGCTGCGAGCTTGCGGAAAGGGGTCTCTCATTCTGGGTGGGATCAAAGGAAGGGACCCCTTCCCCCTTCCCTTCACAATAAGTGAAAATAGGTGACTTTTTGTGGCTTTTGGTGTCTTTCCTTCCCTCCTTTGGGCGGTTATGTCAGTCTGAGCCCAGTGGGAGCTGAACTCTCCCTCTCTACCCATTTTGTCTTTGCTAAGGAAGGAGGGCAAAGTGGGGGGATTTGCCTTTATGAACCCTCAAACTGCCGATGCACATCCCACTTTATAAAGCTACCTCGCCTTTTGAGCCAGGGGCCTGATGGAAACTTCCAGGCACTTGCATGTGATGCCAACCTCTGGAGGCCCTATAGGAGAGGGAGCAGTACCTCGGGACCCCTCCTCACCCCAGGCTACTCCTTCCGGGGGTGTGAGACATGTTCGGGAGGCAGCTGGGGAAACTTTGTCCCCTGGGCCCAGCCAACAAGCTTAACCTTTGCCTGTGGTAAAAATCAAGACCAGGGGTTATCTCTGGAGCTATGGAAGGGTTTCAGGGGCCACAGAATCCCCTCAAGGTCACCTGCCCCCAGTGGGGAGAGGCAGGTGGCTGGGCCAGGCAAGGCAGTTTCACAGGTGGTCTTTCTCAGGCCCATTCTGACCACACCCCAGGTGATCTGCTCTCCTGCCTCTTCTCCGCTCCTGGAGTCTGGAGCCAGATTTCCTCCCTTTGTCGGGCCCGCTTGTCTCTTCTATCCTCTTTCCTGGACCTGTGGTTGCTTTCAGTCCCTCTGCCTTGCCTGTCTCACGTTGGAGGCAAAGGCAGAAGTGTGGGTCGATTCAGATGTGCTGGGAAGGCTTGCTATGATCTCAGACCAGGGCTGTCTTCTCTGTCCTGGGGACTTTTCAAACTGGAAGGCTTTGTGGGCATCTCTGAAAGACTCTGCTCTTGCATCAGCAACCATGCCTTGGTAGCTATTAGATGTGCCCCCTACCCTTTTCCTTTCCTTCAGCCTTCCCACTCCTTGATTTCCTGTGAAATGACCCAGCCACCAATCACTCCCACTCTCCTTCTGAGCCAGCAGAGTAACCCTGCTCATCTTTTGACCTTTTCAGGTGGTCAGACCTGTCCTGACACCCAGAGGTCTGCATGAGGGAAGGCCACGGAAGGAGGAGTTCTGAAAGGCCACAGGTGATGAAGAGCTTGGATGAATGAACTTAGAAGTCCCAGGTGAGTACCAAGATGTCAGCGCATGGTTTCTTCGCCTGAGCAGACCCAAGGGGCCTCCACACATACTTCCCACTTGATGATGAGATACAGGGAAGCCACAGATCCAGTGCTTGGAGACTGTCCTCAAAGGCTTAGTCCTTGGCAAAGGAAGGCACCCATCACAGAGGTTACATGAAAGGGCACAGTACCTACCGCATGAGGCATAGGACTGCATAGGACTTCCTGTCCTATCCTCTAAACGGGACTTGGGCCTGTGTGTTTAGGAGCTTCCAAACCCCCAGTACTGAGGGGTGTACTGTATTCAAGGGGCCCACTGTTCCTTTTTCACCTCCACTTCCTGGACCATCTCGGGCCTCTCAGGGGCCCAGGGGATGGGCAGAGTTGAAGGGTCATTTGCCATGCCAAGTTTCTCTGAGGATACCAAACATTGTTACGTCTCCTTAACTGGAGTTCAGCCTAGGATGCATGGGAGAAGTTTTAGGCTCTGGATATTTTTTTGAAGGGTAAGGCATTAATATCTAAATGCATTTACTTTTCCTATTAACCAGCAAAATCTCTTGCTATAGAGCTTTTGTTTAGCTGCCTTTCTGAGCTTCAAAGTCATACTGTGATTCTTATTGGGGATTTCAGTTCAGAGCTTGGCAGAGAATTTTGAAACCCCAGGGCTGTTAGATTTGTGAGGAAAGGAGAAATCAAGCTACCTGCCTAATGCTTGGAGGTCATGTGAGCCAAATGTGGGAAGCTGCCAGAAATTTTTAGAGGGAAACTCGAGGCTATGGCAGAATAGAAGCACATTACATGGAAGATCTTCAGATCATTATACAATAGATCTATTTTCTATATTAATTAAATGTCTGCTATACGGATTGTTGGAAATTTTTACATTTTAAAAGTAGAACTTAAATAACAAGTAAATTGACTGGAATCGTCTATAATTCCCAGCATGTAAAGTGTGGATGAGGCCATCAAATTGTTAAATGAGCCTAACTTCTTTTAAGTTCCCCTTTTGAATATGAGGACCTGAAGTTTGCAGCATCTGTCTTTGGGCAATAGGGTAGTTGTTAATTCCAAGAGTTTCACATCTTCCTTCTCCCTCCTTAACTGATAGTTCAATTGCACTGGGAGGAAATCTAAGAAAATAATATGATGGGGGGTGATTTTCTTGCCTGAAAGGTAGTCTCTTCTAAATTACGTTTGAAAAAATCCATGGATAGACTAAACCTCAAATTTAGATAGAATATGTAGCATGCCAAAGCTGGAAAGAACTGTAGAGTATATTCAGAGAAAGACTAATCTCTTCATTTTATAAATCAAACAGGTTCAGAGAGGTTAAGTGATTTTACCAAGGTCACACAGCTGGGGCTCAACCCCAGGTTGTTTATTGTGTTCTCTGGGTATTTTTTTTTTCCCACTAAGCATTTCCTATTACTACCAAATCATACAGATAATCCGTAAACATAATCCAGGACAACAGAACAGATTCCCTTTGAAAATGACTGGCATTTAGAATGCCAGGGCTCAAAAAAGAGTTTAAAGAAAGTTTCTTCTGCTTGCAATTAGCATTCTGGGGGCATCATTAGAAGGTTAGGTATGGCTGTCATCTCTTGTCTCTGACACGGCCTAGACCTCAGAGCATCCATGTTGCCTTGGTCTGCTGAGGAAGGCATTAGCACAAGAAAGTTGCTGTGTCATAGAATCCCAGTATTGGTCTTTTTCAAAACATTTGCTAGCATGAAGCAGCTCCGTAAGGCATGGGTCCCTGTCTCTTATTTCTCTCCTCTGGGTGGCAGTTGATTCTCATCCTTCTTGTCTTGTGGGGTTTGACTGAGAGCTGTTAAGAAGGTAGTTAGACCCAGGATCTCTTTTATAAGCAAGAAGGCCCTCATAAGGAGGTTTCAAATGAAGTGAAGATCTGTTTGATCCTTGTCCCCAAGATACTTTTTTAGAATGCTGCAGATCACCTGCTTGTAGGACAGCTGCTTGGCCTGGTCAGTTTTAAGCTCATGATTTACTGCCAAACCCTGGATTGAACTCCACTATTTCAGCTTTACATATTTCTACCAATATCAGCCACTTCGAGCCCATATTAATCATGTCTTCAGAACATGAGAATAGTAGTCATGGTGTGTGTGCTATCACAAATAAATTATTCTGGTGGCCTTTTTCACAGTCTCTCCCTGCTGTTTGCTCCCCCTACCTCCCCGCGCTTTCTGACAACTTCTAACTAGGAAATAAGATTCATTTCTCTGCTTAAAAAGCAACAGACTGGGAAGAAGAAAAATGAGATGGGGTGAAAGATACAAATAGGTTAAAAAGCAAAACAAGGCTGACAAGCAGTGGAAAGAATTAAAAGAGCAAATTCTATCCAATCCTAACTACTCATGTTTATGAACTTAAAGAAGCAATTTTATCCTCTCTAAGCCTCAATATCTCCATCTATAAAATTAGGTGCTTTGGGGGTCAGATCCTTTCCATTCATGCATTAATTCAACAAATGTTGAATGTTTATTCAACAAATGTTTATTGAGTTTCTGTACTACGTATCGGGCCTTATTCTAGACATTGGAGATATAAATAAATTATTCTTCCTTTGATAATCTGTTGAAAGCTATGGACCTTGTCCCCAGCAAAAGGAGAAAAAACAAAACAAAACAAAAAAAACCCAGGCATTTTATATACAATTTCAGGCAGCTCAGGACATCCCTAGGTTCCATGGACCCCAAGTTAAAATTTTTTTCATCAAGTGTCTAAGGCCTACATTTTACAATATGAAGGTTTGAGTTTAGGTTACATAGTCAAATCTTGGTTTTTAGTTGTTCTTTTTTTTCCCCCCAGTAGTACTTTGTTGCATTTTTATTGTGATTTTGGCCTTCCATTTTTGGAGAATAAATATTTGGAACTTAGTTAATACTGCAAGTGGCTAGAATAAATGCTGAACAGCAGCTCGTAACTGAGAGGCAAGGCAGACGTGGAGCTGAGGACAGAAACAGATGAGAAGTTTTGATGACTAATCTCAGCCTGGTCCTGCGGAATTTCAAAGAGGTAATCCATCTTTTAGGCTAAGTATTCTTGGTAAAGTCAATGGTTCCATGGAGGGAAGGGAAGTTTATGTTGGAGCTGGACAGTATAAGATCACAGTGCCAGGGCTCATGGCAAAGATGGATTTCCTCTGGTGCTTTTGACTACCAGGCACAATCATAGCTGGACAGGTCAGGGATTCATTGAGAAGGAAAGACCAGTCCACTTCTGGCCCTGTTGGGTTGGTAGATTGGCTGCTTCCACGTAGCGCAGCAAGGGGCTTTATAGCAGGCAGTTCTGTTGAGATCTTCAGTGAAGGAGAAATTGGGAGGCTGAAAGGCTCAAAACAGACATGGATAGGTCTGTGTGCAAAGGTTTCACCTTAGTTCCCACTCTTTCTGAGCATTTTTCTTCCCTGCTTTCAGCATCCTCAGAATTCTTACTTGCATTGAGGAAGACCAGAACTTTTTCATTTAGGGCAAGGGGCATTTACTGACTTTAGGACTAATCAGCTACTAACACAAACTGGACTTTAGATGGGGAGTTAGATGCTCTTATTCAGTACTCCCAGGTAAACAGCCAGTGGAAGTCACTGCTAGGAGAGGACCCTAGAAGTGAAGTGATCCATCTTTGAAAGAGTCAGATAGGAATCTGAACTTGTAAAATCTTTGTGTTAGATTGTGGGAGGACAGGATGAAGTGTGTGAATTTCTGCTCAAGGAAGAAAGCAACAAGTTGCTGCTGCTGAGGCTAAAGTACAGGAAAATCCATCAAAATATAAACTTTTCATCTTCTCAATTTCCTCATCTGTAAAATGGGGATAATGATAACGCCCTTCACCGTAAGGCTTTGGTGAGAATTAAATGAGATTATACATGTGTGAAGAGCCTAGTCAGTGTTCAACAAATGTTAGCTATTATTATTATGATAGTGTTTTCTTTCCTGTCTGACACACATAGCAATGTCATACAAGGCTTAAATCATAGCATCAGCAGCTATAGGACCAGAGCTATTCCTAGAGTGACAGATAAAAGATAATCTTTTCTGGAAGCATCTGTCCATTTGCTCCATAGCCTGCCAGTGCCCAGGATTACCCGCTGGGAGCAAATCAGAAGGGTTGATAGAAAAATCTTTTTCTCTACTTTATGTGTCCCTACATGAAGATTATCTCTTTCTTGTTTCATTCTCCTTTTAATTCCTTGCTTTCACGTTCCTTTTAAAATCAATTGAATTTAATTACAATTGTTTTTGCAAATCACTCTTTTTGCCTTTATTTATAACAATAATAATAATAATTATTATTATTATTATTTTGATTGGGGAGAAAAAGCAATTCACCTAGGATACTTTTATTTTCAGCATATATCTAGTCCCAAATTTTCAATGTTTAGGAAATTTCCAACAAGGAAAGAAAAAAGGAAAAATAGAAGGGCAAGAATATGTAACAATATTTGCTGTCATAAATGTTTTCTCTTTCCTTTTCCTGCATATTTAATCTTCATTCTTTCCTTCTTCTGACTTTACTTTTAGCATCTTATAAATCTTTTTCTCTCCTCTTAAAACACCCCCTGCCTCAAAATCTTTGTTCTCTTCCTTTTGATCCACTGAACTTGTCCTATCAGGCATTTATTTTTAAGTCTTGGCTGCAAACTGCAGGGCTGAGTATAGGAAGAATGTGATATGGTCCCTACATTTTCTGGGTAATGCTAGGAGAAAACACCAGGGCCACCATTTGTCCCCTGAACCTGTTGAACACATCTGAGGCCATTCCAAAGAGAGGGAAAAACTATTTTTGTTTTTGTTTATTATCTCTTTATTTTATTCAGTTTTCATAGAAATTGGAGCCTTCCTCATGGACCTTTCTACATTTCCACTTTCCCACATTTAAACCCACAGCCTATGCATTGCTTCCACTTGGTGACTTTTCCTTTTTTCTGTCTTTAAAAAAAAAATTCTAATAAAAGGTTCAGGGATACATCAAAC